ATATATATATATATTTGAAATTGATTTGAAATATCAGCAGGCCACTAAACAACATTAAGATTCGAGATTTTATGAGATTAGTTGAAACGGAATAAAAAAGAATACTATACTAATTAAGGCTAATCATTAGCTAGCTATTTAATTATAGTGAAGAATTTTCATTAGCTGGCATTTCTTGTTGATTCATAATTAGTAGATTTTTTCATGGTATATATATATAAGAAAAAAATATAAGGACAACAAAAGTGAGAAAAGTCTAGCACAATCTCACAAATATTATTTAATTATATGTGGATTTGAAACATTAGCTCTAGTATTAGGCTCAAAAATAGTTCAAATATAGGCCTCAAAATATTCTGCTCAAATAAAACAAAAAAAGAATATTTGGCAATGGGTGGTGGATCATACCAAATGAGTGATGAATCTTTTTATCTCAATTAACTATCTTAACTTTATTAGTGATGGTTCGATTTCTCAATTTTATTGCCGCACTTCATTTCCCCATCCCCTACTCCCCCTTCTTTTTTTTAGAAAAAATAAATAAATACCAAATGAGTACTTACCTACACATATATAGGAAACTCCCTTTCATTATCTAAAACTTTATTTATTTCTTTAAGGAAAATGCTCTCCATGACATATAGAGTCCTCCCAAAAAATTAAAAAAAAATTAGTGTGGTGGTACCCTTCCATGCAACTTCCAGGAAATGTTATTTTCCATCAACCATAATTCTATCCTCATTCTCCCTCAGCTTCCTTCCTTTGCAATTTGCATTTTCTTGGACTCTTTCCACCAAAACTTCCTCTACATTCCTCTCTTATCTATATATATAAATATCCCTTTGAACTCATCATAATTCATCCATCTTGAGTGTACTACATCTATCCAATAATACTTATTGCTTCAATAGGGGCATAAAGAGGTTCAACTGAATACCTTTCATTGAAAAATTATATCGTGTAAAGAAGGTATCAAGTTCAAATCCTAGTGGTTGCAACTTGCATTGTTACATTTTTTTTCGAAATCCCCAGTTAAAATTCCTAATTTCTAGTCCAATATCAATATAATACTTGTTAAAGGGCAAGAAGGGGATTTATTTTCGTTGAAAAATTATACTAGTGAAAGAGAGCCTCGCGTTCACATCCTAGGGGTGACATTTTGACAAAATTTCTGACTCCACCACTAGTCTGATCTGATATCAATGGCTCATGCATTGGGGCACGACGTGGTGTTTGAGGATTTTTTCCCTTCTATGGTGGAGAAACTTGGAGCTGAGGGATTCTTGAAGGAGCTAAGCAATGGATTTAGGGTTCTAATGGATGAGGAGAAGGAAGTCATAACATTTGAGAGCTTGAAGAAGAATTCAGAGTTGTTGGGATTAAAGGACAATATGAGTGATGATGAGGTGATGTGCATGTTGAGTGAAGGTGATTTGGATGGTGATGGTTGTTTGAATGAAATGGAGTTTTGTGTATTAATGGTACGTTTAAGTCCTGATTTAATGGACATTTCAAGAATGTGGTTGGAGGAAACTCTTGCTAAGTTGTAATTAGGCTTTAATTAATCCCTTTTGTGATGATTCTTGTTATTTAATTTTATTCTCTATATATATACATCTAGACTATCCATACATATAGTTATTGGTTCTTTAGTAATTGTTTTTGTTTTCTCGGTGTTCGGTATTCGTTTATTAGGGTCTAAATAATTTAGATTATCATAATTTGGTAGTAGTGTTTCCTCTAAAGACAATATATTTCATTTTCAGGAGTCAAACTTGAAACCTCTGATTAAGAATGGAGGGGCGATACTACCGCACATCATAAAGTTTAGTGGTTTGTTTAGTAATTGTTAATGTCATCATTAATGTGATTCCTCTACAAGCTAACATTTTGCTAGTAATATTAGAAGGGGATTTGGGTATAGATATATGGTTTGATTGAATGAGATAAAGTTTTTTGTACTCATGGTTAGATTTTATTTTTTTTGGTTTCTTACTCGATGTTTGATATTTATTTTTGAAGTTCATTTAATTGAGATTTTTGTCAAGAAATTTCACCTGAGATAAAAATGTTCCCTACCAAAGCAACATATTAAAAATGAAGTTGGAGGAGACTCTTGCCAAGTTGTAATTAATTAGGCTCTATTTAATTAATTTCTTGTGATGATTCTTCTAATTTATCTATATGTATTTATCTAGCTTATCCAAGAGTTACTAGATCTTTGGTAATTTCTCCTCTTCTTTTTTTTGCTTGGTGTTAGTTACCTATTTGTTGGGCCCGAGTAATTGAGGTTAACATCGAAAAGTTTCACTTTACATATAAAATAGTCTTTACTAAAAGTCAATTTCATTTTGAGAGGTTGAACTTAAGGTTTTTAATTAAAAAGAGAAGAATGATATTTATTACTCTAACACAAATTTTGGTACAATTCTCTTAATAATTGTTCAAGCCATAATTAATGTGATTCTTGATAAAGAAACAGACTTTGAACAAAATTTAATCCAGAAGCTACCTCATGAGAAGAGAATTATTCTAAATTATATAACGAAATCAAGTTTTCACGGCCCCAATAATGACATGAAACTCTACACCCCCACACAATTATGTTTTTTTGATGAAAACTTCAATTTTGAAGTGTAGGAGTTGTAAGAGGAGTATAGACAATATAATATGGGAAATTCAATATCAACTAAATCAATAAGCTAAGATGGACCTGACTTTAATATCATGTTAACACGTTAAATTGATCGAAATCACCAAAGGCAATATACACTAAGACCAAAAATGGACTAAAGACTAGCTAATACAAATTGGGCTACAAATAAATCTTGTCCTCTAGGTGGGCTTTCACACAATTGGGCTTCCGGGTTATTTTGAAGTTCCAACGGGCCAAGTGCTCAAATATCCGTTGTTGGGCCGCTAGTTTAACTTGAGCCCGCTTTTTAATATATATTTTTTTTAAGTTTACCTACTTTGAGAATAACTTCAGACATACGCGATTGAAGTTGAAATTTTTTGTCTAACTTCATACATTTTTGTTTGAAATGTGGTCTGGTGATGGCGGAACATCGAATATTTTTGTCTGAAATCTGGTATTGCTTGACAAAGCTAACTTTGGATATGTTTTTACTTGAGTTGTGGACTTGATAAGGCCGAGATTCGGACTTTTTTTTACCAAAGTTTTACCTGACTAGTAAAGGCTAACTCCAAATATTTTTAACTATACTGCGCGTAAAAAATTGGCTAAAATCTAAGTCACAAGTGTCTAAATTTTGCATGTAAAATTGATTAAAATTTCAGTTATGTGTATCTGAAATTTTTTGCCAGTTTCTTTTTATTTTTTGAGTTTTAACAATCCAATACACGATACTCAAATCTACTCCAATAGAACTTATATTTGAATATATCATAAAAGACAAACTAATATCATCAATTTATCAAACAACAACAAATCTAACAAACTCATTTAGCGTCAGTTTATTTTTTTCATTTATGCCTCCACTTCTAAATTATAGTTAAATTTCTTCGTCCTAAAAAAACCACCTTTACAAATTTCAACAATCCGACACACTATATAATGTAACTATAAGTAAATCTTTATGAACTAAAATAAAAAAGAATATCACATCAATTAATGTATGGTACTCTCTCGACCAAGTCATACGATCAATTTGTAACCTGATCAAAATGATAGTTGACCTACGAGCTACTTTAACTAGTTAAATTATAAGTTATATCAACGGAAAGATATAAATATATTTTTTAAGTTTACGATTTAAAATTAATATATTTTTCATTAAAAAAGTAATATAT